GTAAGAGAGGATATTGTTAATATAGAGTAAAATAGTTTTTTTAGTAGTACTACTTTACGATTTGAAGGAAACGAGTAGAAAAACTTGACTTCTATTCATCATCAGCATCTAAAAGATAATAAAATCTGAGAAACAGGTGTATCACATTAGTTAGAAGTAGAAAAAACAGGGAGAGTACTAAGTACTAAGTTCCTTCAAACCTTTTAAACCAGTAAATACCGCAGCCGCAGCAGTACAAATTTTTGAAAACATCGCAATAGCCATCTAAATAGAAAAGAAAATCTATCTGATGTGAAGAAATCAACAGGCTTCGTAGCGGCTCCTCGTCAAAATATAGGAACATATAGGATTTTGCGCTAAATTTTTTATAGGAGTTTTCCTAAATATAGGACCTATATAGGATGATATTTCAGCCCTGAAAAACTCGAAGTTTTGTTTTTTTCTAAGGATTACTGGTTTTTCAAAAGTTTTCTCCCCAAGGTTTTCCAGAAAACCAAAAATGGTGAGCAAAAAAAACATCGTATCCCTCCCAGGCGGCTTGCGGACCTAACACAGGAAAACCTTTGTCCAAAAGGAAAGAAAATCGAACCATTTTTACCAAAAGCAGGAGGGACATCACTGTAAAAAAAAGCGGAGAATAGTCAACAGTAAAACCGTTTATGATAGATTAATCAATGAAAAAAGAGTTTATGAATTTGCAACGTATAATAAACCGTTTTCTATCGTACTTGATGAAGGTATAAACCCTTTTTTCGTTTATGCAGCACTTCAAAAGCAAAGAGAAAAGATTTATTATACGTTGCAAATTCATAAAACCTTATTTTTTCAGTGATCTTCTGGCCGCACCACTACTGAAAAAATATAACGAAAATGCATTAATTTTGCACAAAGTCTTCATTTTTTCTAATAGATAGGAAATATAGGAAAATTCATCGAAAAATAGGAATTATAGGATCATTTTTTCAAATATAGGAAATATAGGACGACTATGAAGCCTAGAAATCAAATAAATTTCATTTTCATGAGATAATGTTCCTCTGTGATCTATTAATACATTTTTAGTTTTTCTTTTCTTGCATGTGGGCGTGACTCCTCACCCACACCCTGAAACTTTCAGCTCTCTTCGTTCACTCTGTACTGATATAGAAACATCATGTCTCGTTGTGTATTTAGGCGATATGAAGTATCTTTTACTGTGGCTTCAGTAAAGGAAGAATGAAAAAGAGCTAAACCGTTCACAATAAACTACTCTTGTAAAGAATCATATCTGTACAACGTTTCATGTCGCAATTCATCTTGAGTCTAGCATGCCATGGTCCAGGTTTCATCCCGGCTCAAGTAATCATCAGATAGCTTTAACTCTGCTGTACTTGTTCGAATAATTCCGAAGAATCATAAACGAAGTACAATAATCTATACCGAACTTTACAATCTTAGTCGAAAGTAAAGAACAATAGATATCACTATAGGCAGGGTGTGAGGGAGAGTGCAGATAAGAGAATACCACGACGCGTTTCGTCCTAATTTCAAGGACTCATCAGGTGATTTATCAAAATCCGCATAAAAATTCAATACATCTTTAAATTAGCAGGACAAATCCTCTAATATTAAAGAAACATTAAATTTTAACCCTTTCCGGCCGGATGTTGCCATTTGGCAACATTTTGCAATATCACCTTATGATTTATCTTAAAGTGATGAGATATAGTTCCTTAAGCGATTTGATAATTAATTACATCCATTTTAGAGCAAACCTATGCCTTCTCAGGAAAGGAGAAAGCTGTTATTGGCGAGAGGGATGAATTGCCCTCTTGGCATGTTGCCATTTGGCAACATCCGGCCGTAAGGGTACAAAAGTTGGAAAAAGTGTTTTCCTCGATGGAAGTTCAATAATTTGGTATTAGTTTTTGGTCCAGACCAGAAACTGAAACGAATAGACAAATCTTCATTCGGATTTGATTCGACCCACTTAATGAATACAAAAAAGAATAAGCTATTATTTTCGCACGCTCTCTATTATATCTTGACGTTCTCTTCTGCCCAAAGCACCCCTATTCATTTCTGTGCTAATATATCATTTCGTTATCTAATCTATCAATAATTATTTAGAAATATTGGAACTATTAATGCACCAAAAGCTCATCATTAAGTACTTGATGTCAACGTTCTTATGAAAAATAGCACGGATTCGCTCGAATAATGGATGTTTAGTCTCACAGAATATGGTTATGAAAAGCAGTCAGACATCAATCAGCCGAAAAATTTGAAATGAAGTATAATAGCTTATCCAAGTCAAGAATTTATCTTTTACAAATAAGTCAAAAACATGCCTAAAAAAGAAAAGATAGAGTTCAGTGGATAATCTGTAGTTTATCAAGAGATAAGAACATATTACACCGATGTACTCATGTTATTATAAGCTTGAACTTCATTTCATACGCGGCGAAGTTATTAGGCTCGGGTAGACTCGAGAGCTCCCTGAACTGGAAGACCGAAGGTGAGGTAAGGATGAATTTGTCTATACTGAATTCCGTCTATACGGTCGTCAGCAAAATCCTTCTTGTAATTGGCATCATTATCATATAAACGATATTGAACATACGGTACTTATATTAAAAAGTTTCAGTTTTCAAAATGGGTCAATTGAAACAGACTTCCGAAAAATGGGGGCTGAGTCCCCATCGGTACTTCCCTGGTTACGCTACTAACATTGTTGTGAAAAAAAGGAACACAGGCAGGGTCTCAACTACTACTGACTTCAAGTTTTACCAGTTGGCCAGGAGAAGCCAGGGACACTACGCTTTTCGGCATGAACACAGGTTGAAGATCGTAACGGAGAGAATATATCCTATTCCGCGATGTTGATCATTGAGGAATCACTTCCGCCCACGCAATCAGGTCCCAGGAATTCCGGGCACTAGATCACCACTCAACCGACCGAATTCCGGAATCAGCAGGGATTCCTAGGAGTTCAGGTATCACTTAAAGCGAATATGCGCAAACTTACATGATTAAAGCCGTACAACTTATTCTACACCGGAATTCCCGGAATTTCTTCAATGCAGAATCTAAAGCAATAACTAGGAATTCGTCGAAAATCCGATATTACTTGGAGTGAATATGCGTATACTTCTATGATTAAAGCTATGCAAGTTATGCTACACCGAATTCCCGGAATCGCTCCAAAGGGGAATCGCAAGGTATAACTGGCAATTCCGATAAAATGTGTGTGTGTGTGTTTATTTGCCAAATTTAAACATGTAGCCGGTGTCAAAGCTGACCGGGACAAATCCAAAATTGTAGAAAAACAAATAGTTTTGGTTTAAAAATAGAAAAAGAACGTTTAAATATTCGAAGGAATTTTCGTAAGCAGCCAAAAAATGCGAAGAAATTTTTAAAATATGTTGGTACCGAGACACTAATACCTCAATATGTCGATTTCGGATACCTGCCACGGACTCAAGCACAGCGATAAAATGGCAAGAAAAAATAAAATCGGGTGAGGTAAGGTACAGAAGAGAAGAGAAGCTAACACAATATAACATAAGCTAAGATAAAATAAGATCGGGTGAGGTAAGGTAGAGAAGGAAAGAGAAGTTAAGATAGCGTAAGATAGGATTGAGTAAAGGAAGGCAGACAAGAGGAGAAAAGTCAAGATAACATTTGATGGACTAAGATAGAGTAAAGTAACGTTTACTGAAATTTACTGGAACTTCTTCAGAAAACTGCGATGGTGGTTCTAGTTTGTTTTTTTGATTTTAGTTTTCTTCTGCGAAATCTTATTCGGGACATTTGTTTTCCACACAATATTACGCCTAAAAACATATTTGTGTGTTTTGCCTTGTTTAAAACGCTCGGTCTGTGATTATATGAGGTACTTTGTGTATGGAGAAGAAAATGTTTTGTACTCGAGTTCTGAAACTCTTTTGTAAATCAGCGTATGTTCAGAAATATGTTCTGGAAGTATACACATTGCTGTACATAATCAGTATAAGTTGCTTTGAAACAGGCTCATGTGATCTATACATATTAGGAATCGCAAAACAAACAGAAAAGAAACAAAGAAAGAGTGCAGAAAATCACTTATGTCGATCACTGCTGAAGCACGCGCAAATCGCCAGCCATCCTCGATTGCAGTTCTCGCTGTCTTCTCTACTTTCATTCATCCTAGTTTACTGCGAGCGCTGTATCTGATCTTTCAGCACAATGCTTAATTTACTTAAAAGGTCTCCACCTTACCTAAGCGCGCCTTACCATGTCCTATTTTAGGCTATATAAGCATGACGTCAGGACCAAAATGCATCTGTGTCATTTTCATTTTTGCATCCTGCATTTTTTTCCCACGCGAAAAAACGTACCCCCTTTGAAGATATTAAGATATTTAGATATTACTAAACGTACCCCTCCTAGATATTTAGATATTTACAGTGCAGGTTGATATTTTGTAGGCTCCTTATCTTATCTTATTTCTTAGATATTTACAGGTTTAAATTTTCTAGGCTTATATATTTAGATGTTTACATTTTTCAGTTTGTGAAAAAGTTCGCCTTACAGTCACAAGCGAACGAAATTTATTTTGCTATTAGTAGATAAAAAATTTAAGAGAAAGGAGTGCGCGGTGTGTTAAAAATACTAAGATTCTACATGGTGCATTAAAAGAAAATTTTTTTTTATTCTTAAATTTTTTATCTACTAATAGCAGTAAACTAGGATGAATGAAAGTAGAGAAGACAGCGAGAACTGCAATCGAGGATGGCTGGCGATTTGCGCGTGCTTCAGCAGATAAGAAACAAAGAAAGAGTGCAGAAAATCACTTATGTCGATCACTGCTTTTGTTTTGCGATTCCTAATATGTATAGATCACATGAGCCTGTTTCAAAGCAACTTATACTGATTATGTACAGCAATGTGTATACTTCCAGAACATATTTGTTCTTGTTGTTGTGATATTCTGTGGAAAACAAATGTCCCGAATAAGATTTCGCAGAAGAAAACTAAAATCAAAAAAACAAACTAGAACCACCATCGCAGTTTTCTGAAGAAGTTCCATTAATACTTCTGGTAAAAATTGAAGGACATGTATAAAATGTACCATCACCGTACCAATGTTCTTGTTGCGATAGATGAACGATATCACCGTATGACGAGAAAATGAGTGAACGAGTGCCAGCAAGTAATCCATCATATAATAAAAATGATTCACCATTTGTTGTTTTACAGTATGTGTCCGGTAATGGAAATGGCAATTGTTCTATTGTATGTGGAACTGGTGGACGATTTTTCCGACGATGTCTTTGTAATATATTTTTCATTATATGCAGTGGTGGTAAGTTAGTAAGTAAATCAGTTGATGAAGATTGACGATTGGCATTATTATATGCTTCTTCAACTATACAGTCAATTGGACCTGCGTCTGCAGTACTTTTACGTTTTAACGATTTTCTAATTTTCAATATTTTTGCACAAGATTCATCTGGTAAATGTGTGTGATTATAACGTACGACGACTGATAAATCTGGATAAGTTGTTGCTGTTGCTTTGCATTGTACACATACCCAGTATTCCGAATTTATATTTTTACGTTTAAAACAATATCGATAGCCAAGATGATTTAGTTGTCTTTTACCATGAGTAGATTCAACGAAGTTCGCAGACATTTTCGAATAACTGTGAGATAAGTACGGTTTATCCGACCTTTATATAAGTTATAACAAACATCCTGACTCTGATAACTACTTAAATTCACTCAAACATTGTGACTATTAACATTGTTTTGTCAGTATTTGTCACTCATTTAGCAACAGAATATACTGAATATTGCTCATTCCCATTAACTCAAACTTTGTGACTATTACTCAGATTCCCTTTCTGAAGGATAATCATTAGCCAACTGGCTACTTAACTGTACACTGCTTCCAAATCAGTGGAAAGTATATACTGCTTAATTAGTATACATATTTTATCTAATTATTGGAAAGTAAATCCATTATAACAAAAAAAACGTATACATTTCCTTTTCTGTAAGAAAAAAGCTAATTAAAATAAAAATTAATCATGGAAAAGTAAATCCTGTATACCACTCTAAGCGTGTCAGTGAGGACGCCATCCGATGTTTGAGCGATTCGACATTTTTACGATCCTTTACACAGCGATTTTCTTATACAGTCTGCGGTAATTTTGAGCTTCTCTGAACTCATTCGATTGCACCAATAACGAAAATTGTCTTGTACAATTCATGAAACCGAAAACACTGGTATGAGACACTTTAGTAGAGAGAAGCAATCAGGCAGACATTTCTTGATGTGAAATCTATCTGAAAAATGGTGTTCAGTTTGATCTAAAAGAGTTCGGTTGGTCACTTCAAAGTTTATAGATGGAGAAATTCATATGAAATGCTTTTTATGAACCAAGAAATACTTTGCTTGTACTTACACAATGTCTTGAACTAATTATAGCAAAAAGAGAAAGAGATACAAGCAAAAAATGCATTTTTTAGAGTTGTTTGGCTTCATCAACCACAGCGTATTGATAGACTCAGCAATGTTCAACTGTATGTTGCTGTTGTTATTATTGTGGATGTTATTTTTTATCACTATATAGATTCTGTATTGTATATTCATGATGATGACTTCATGATTAGACATGAACATGACCGTTCCGGTTCCGGTCCCAAAAAGAAGGTTTTGATCGGGCCCGGGACTGGAATCAAGATCTCTTTTTACCAAGTTCGTAAAATCAGCAAAAAGTTTCCTGGCTAGAATGGATTGTTTTTTTCATGTTTTACGGACAAAATTTTTTTATTTTCTAATAGGAGACGTTTCGTCTTTATTCAAAAGGTGTCGGCAGTCCAGTGACTAAAGTGCCCCAACATATCGAAGCAAATTTCGTTCCTTTCCTGTGTCTGCGCTTTAAGAGGACATATCAACAAAAAATGTTAAGTTCAAAGCTTTTTTGAGAGTAAATCGGTCTTATTTTCTTTTGTTTGTGATTATCCACCAACAGACTTTCAATAATTGTTCTTTTCAGTGTATAGGACTCGCGGAGAAGGATCTCTGAATTTCAGTTAGTTTGGTCATTCTCTTGATCGTGAAACGCTGCGTGAAAAGTTATTCTCGTCGAACGCATCACGATGCTGCTTCGCTCTCCTTCTATCACCTTCTATCACCTTTTGCTGCCTGTCTAATATAAATAGTGAAATAACCACACGGCTTGGCCAGCTAACGGTACACCAGAGTGCGGAAGCATGAAGCATTAAATGAAGTGGTAAAACTAATTTTATGTGAAAGAGCACACTTTAAAGTGTAGGAAAATAATTTTCGTTTGTTTTCATTAGTACCTGAACACATGGAAAATATTCGGTGAACATTGAGATGAATCATCAATAATGCGGTACGTTTAATACCATATGGTTTTTTTTATTATTTTTTCTCGTTCTTCTTGGCGTTTCAGCTTAAGAAAAATACATTACTGGATAGAGAAGAAGTTGTTCTGTTTACTGATCGTATCAATTCTTGTTCTAGCTTTTACGTGCTTCTGAAAATCAGAAAACTTGCGCATTTTTAATGAAATTCCGTAACGAAAAATCGCTATTTTAAAAATTGTTCAAACAAGCTAGGAGAATTCTGTAAGTCATTTAGCATA